TATCTTCAATATTTTTGAATAAATTTAAAATAGATAAAAATAAAGTAATATAGGAGATTATATAATGTAATGAAAAAACAATAAATAATGGTTCAAGTAAAATTAAAAGTAATTATAATAAGGGTTAGAGAAACTAAAAAATAATTAAGGGAAACTGATAAAGTTGCAAAGGAATCTTAAATGGTTTGTAACACGATATAAATTATCAATTATAATGAGAAAAAAGGTTAAAAAGAAAAGATTGAATCATACCAATTTTCTTCTTTTAATTTAGTCAAAAGAAATACTAATTAAATAGGCCACTAGATTCAGACAAACTCGTAGAAGAAGAGGACATGTTTCAATGGGTTATGGTCGTATTGGAAAACATAGAAAGCAAAGAGGAGGAAGAGGAAATGCTGGTGGACAACACCATAGAAAGACTTGGTTCACTACATTCCATCCAGACTATTTTGGAAAACATGGAATGAGAGTATTCCATCTTAAAGCTAATAAATATTATTGCCCAAGCATTAATGTAGATTCATTATGGAGTCTTGTTGGTAAAGACGTTCAAGCACAATACAAAAATGCTAAAGTAGGAGAAGAAGTTCCAGTTATTGACTGTGTAAAACATGGCTATTTCAAGGTTCTTGGTAAGGGATTCCTTCCAAAACAACCAGTTATTGTCAGAGCTAGATATTTCAGTGAAAAAGCTCAACAAAAGATTAAAGCCGTTGGAGGAGCATGCGAACTTACTGCTTAATTGAGATAATTTGAAAAGAAGAATAAGAACTGTTTTTTATTTTTTTTTTCTTTACTTAAAGAAAGAATTGTTTAATACAAAAGGAGAGTCATTTATTTATAATTTTTTGGTATATAAAAAAATTAAAACTACTGAACTAAAAAAGCAGAGAATATGGTTTGTGTTTATTATATAAGTTATTGTCCATTTAGAAAATTCATAGGTTAGGAAGAGTCAGACTCAATGAGACTTAAGATTATTGTTGTTGGTGATCCTTCAAGTGGAAAGACTAGTTCTATTCATCAATTTTGTGATGGGATTTTTGATAACAATTATCAGCCAACGGTTTGTATTTGTTTTATTGTTTAAGTAAGAACTAACCAATATAGATTGGGGTAGAGTTTTCATCTAAGTTTATTTCTATTGATGGAAAATCTGTTGAATTAAGACTTTGGGATATTGCAGGACAAGATCATTATGCAGGAATGAGTAGAGTATATTATAATGGTGCACTAGGTGCTATTGTTATGTGTGATGTAACAAATAAAAATTCTATTGAAGGTGCAATGAAATGGAAAGCTAATATTGATGATAGAGTATTATTTAATAATGAAAAAATACCTGTTTTACTTGTTGGAAATAAAACAGATTTAATTCAAGATGAAGCACAACTAAAAGCAATACAGTATCAATTAGGAGAAATTTCAGCATCAAATGGATTTAGTGGTTATATACTAACTTCAGCAAGGACCAGTCATAATTTAGAAGAGTCAATGGTTCGTATTGCTAAGTTTATCATCACCAAATATGGTGCATTACTTGATAATACTCAACCAGAGGAAGCAGCCCCAAATATAGATTTGATGCAATTTCCAGAGACAAAGAAATTAGATGGTTGTTGTCATTAAATAAATTGTTATTACAAGGATTATGAAATGATGTTATACATAAATATTATATTTTATTGCACATTAATTTATTTTTTAAACATTTAAAATAATTTATAATAATAATAAATAATAATATTATATAAATATCAATTAAATTTTGTTATTGAGATTAATAGTATTACAATAAACCATTTTTAATATTTAAGACAATACAATATAATGACAGTGAAAATTAATGAATTATTATTAATTTATTTAGGTAATGTTGTGTTTATTAGTTTATTCTATAACTCTATTTTTTTTAATAAGACAGTAATTATTATAATCAATTTATGAAAAAAATAATAACAAAAATCATATAATACAATTATTTATAAAAGGATAATACCAATAGTTATTTTATAATCAAAAGTATATATTTTAAGTATATATAAAAAATAAGAGTTTGGTTATTAATACAAATAAAAAAATAATTTATAACAATTAAAGAGTATTAATAACAAAAAGACTAAACTTGTTGTTAGTTTACTGATTTGTTTGAATATTATTTGAATGGTATTCTTTTTCTTCTTAATGATAATTCTTTAAAATATTTAATTTTTAAATATAAAAATATAATATTTTAAAGTTGTAACTTCATTTAATGATTTTTTTTATTAATAAAATATTATTTCCATAGAAATTTTTCGTTATGAAAAAGATTTAATTCTTCTGACAAATAAAAATAGTTTTCCAAAATAATATTTATAGAGCATATACAAAACATAGAAAAGATATGAAAGACAAACCCAAAAAACTGAAGTCTTTCTTTTTTGAACTTTTTTACAAGTTTTTTGAACAAGAAACTTAGAAATATTGATTTATTAAATGATGAGCAAGAAAGCACACCACCGTTCATTATCAACTACTGAACCACCACAATTTTTATCTACAAAAGATGGATTTATGTCTCCAAGGGTTTCTCTTGCTAGTTTTCCAAATCAAGAATTTTCTTCACCACCAACATCACCAAGAAACAATAAAAGAATAATTATTTCTAAGTCATTTCCATCAACAGCATTTAATAAATTGAATTTCTTAATTGATAAGTCAAAAGCAGGCAAGGTTACTCCTCAATGTAAACTTCCTACTATTATAACTCAAAAAGTAGATGAATGTGTTGATGTTGCATCATTAGTTAATTTAGTTGAAACTTATGAAATATATTTCATAGAAAATATAAAAGAAGTTGATTTAACCAAACCAAGAATGGTTTTTTGGAGAATGGAAGAAACACATAGAAATTTATTTACTAAATTGTTTGATGGAATCAAAACAAATTCAATTGTTAGTTCTGTACTTATTCGATTTCTTGTTGAAAAATATGACCAACATTCAGAACAGAATATTATAACTGACTTTCTTAATAAAATAATATTAAATAAAGATGAAATATTTTCTTCAAATGGAGACCCAGTATACAGAAGTGATGGAAGTATTATTGAAGCAAGTAGTGAAGTATTAATAGATTTAATGTTTGACATAAATGATAATCAAAGTACTTTTGATATCATGTTATATTCTAATGCATTAGTCATGAAACCGTATGAATATGCTTTAAAATTAAAAAAGAAACATTTAGAGTTAAAAGAGGTTATAGAGAAAGAGTCACTTGAATTGGTTAGAACAAAAATAGAAAAAGCTATATTATTACTTGTTGAGATAAATAAAATAGATGATGAAACAAAAGAGTTAATACATGAAGTTTTTTCTGATAAAATTTATTCTGAAGAATTTAATAAAAAATTACAAACTCGATTATATCCAAAAATTGAAATTTTTAGTCTTCCTCAGTACAAAAGAACAGTTAATGATAGTACCAATCAACGCAGACGTCGTAACACTATTGGTTCAAGAAATGGTTTACCAGTAAATATTCAGTACAAATATGAGAACATTAGGTTTAAAAGTATTAAAAGAAGAAGTGAAGAAATATTAGCACCAACAGTAAAACGAATATATGAAGAACTAATTATTCCAAGGAAAAAAAGAAGTGATCCTAATCAAATACTAGCTCTAGAAGTTATTAATACAGATAATATTTGTGATTTAGGAGTAGATATACTAACTCAACAATTTATTTTTAGAGATATTAAAATTCTTCAAATGATATCAATCCAAGAAGTTATGCTTGCTGACAAAGCACCTTCAATACAACAAGCCATTGAGACATTAGTTAGTATAGAAAAATTAATACTACAACTTATAGTTGTTAAAGGTACTTTCAAATTGTTTATTAAAATTGCAATGAAATGTTGTGAATTAGGCGATTTTAACATTGGCTTTATAATGTACTCTTGTGTAGTTCAGATTTCTGTAAAAAATCCATCATTTCTTAATGAGCTTAAAAAGAGTAAGCTTATATTTGAACGTCTTCAAGAATTGTTTTCTATATCAAAGAATCACCAAAATTATAGAGAAGAATTCGAAAAAAGAGAAGTAGCTTATCGTATTCCAATATTAAGTTTGTTTTTATTTTATTCACTCTTTAAACTCTATATCAACAAAATTAATAAAATAGCAATTTGGATTCATGATATGTTATCATCTCTTGAAGAAGAAACTAAGATAGAGTATCGTTTCAATGTAAGAAAATTAAAAAACGTTTCTCTATGTATTAAAACTATGATAGAATTAAAGACAATAAAAATTGCTATTGATTGTATTTATCCTGTACAGGATTTTCTCTGTCAATTCTCATAGAATTATCTGTGCTTTAAATGATATTTATATTTTATTAATTCTTTTCAAAAATAAAAATAGAAAAATAACTCTAAATAGTATTACTACTAGTTATGGAATTTATTCAATATTATCTAAAATAATTCTGCTTCTTAAAATATATCTGAATAATAAGTGAATATCATCTATTTTATATTTAATTTTAGAAATTAAGGTTCTTTTTAAAAATAGCTTTATTAACTATTTAGTGTATTATTATGAATCAGAAAAATAACTTTTTTGAAATTCTCTTTGTTTATTACCATTGTTATTCTCTTAATATGTATATTCAAAAACAGGTGTTATTCTTATATGAATGAATTTAAATTGTTCTTTTCTTCTTTCTTTTTCTTCAATTAACAATTTCTTAGAATATAATCTCCTTGTCTTTTCATCATTTATTTGTTTTTATGTATTAAACAAACAGTAGACTTAAACATATTATAAAAGTAAAATTTTCATACAACTCTATTCTATTTTTAGAGTCATTCTTTTTTAATGCAAAATAATCAACAACTACCAAATTATTATTCGACTTTCATTTCCTTGTCTTATTGAAAATTGTTGTTTATTCTAACTATTGAATATATTATATTATTCTAATTATTTTTTTTGTTCCCAAAACATTTGTTTCACTTATGAATGAAATTCTAACATAACTTCTTGAAACGTCTCAAAACATGGCGTTATTATTATATTTAAGCGTTGGAATGATGGTATAATGAGTTTTCAATTTTCTATAAAAACTGAGCAATTAATTTATTTAATAAAAATCATCAGTCGTTCAAAAAATGAAAGTCTTAGTTCCACAATATAATTGTGAGTTAATGCAGTGAAACAATGAATAATATAAACATTATTGATATTAAAAGAATTATCTTGAAATTTTACTTTCAAGCATTTTTCAAAAATAAAAATATGAATAAACAATGAATGTGTTTAAATTACTTTTTAGGTTGTTTATTTTTCTTTTGACTAATTAGTGGAAGGAAACGAGCTTCGAAATACAGATTAACATTAGCTCTATGACCAATGACGTCTTTATTTTTGTATTCTATCCAAACAAATAATTTCTTTCTTCTTAATAAAGAAACTTCTTTTTCATTAGAAATAGTCTTAAAGAAATGGAAATATTTTCCTCCTTCTCCAATATCTTTATTCCATTGAACTTGAACTCTTTTATCTTCACTTGCACCTATATAAAGGTTCATATCAAAAGAAAGAATTTGATCATGATACCCTACAATTTGATTAATTTGAGTTTTACTCACCTTAAACTCAATAAACATTTCTTTCATACTAAAGAATTGTGGTGTTTTAACATCAAGTTCTAATGTTGGTTCTTTTTGTTCTTTTAAATACTTCCATGTTGTAGAATAATTGGACAAAGCGTCCCTCGAATATGCAGACATATCCATCATAATTTTTCCAACAACGTTTTTGTTTTTAAACTTTTCATTAAGCATTCCTGATAATATTCTCAACGAAATATTACTTAATGTATCATCTTCATTATATAACTTAATCTCTTCTTTCTCATCAGGAACAAGTAAGTCATCTCTAATAACAATACCTTTCATTTTCTTAAAATTATTTACTGCATACTCTAATGAATCAATATCTTTATAAAATAGTAACATATTTCTCCAATCAACTCTTACTTGTCTACAACTATATTTCATTCTCTTTAAAAACCTCACAATTGAATCATATGCAATGTCACTAATTTGAGTTAAATGAATAATCATTGTTTTTTCATTAAGTTCATTGTCATATACAATTACATTTATAACAAATTCATATTCTTGATCTTTGGGATGGAACATTTCTTTATATTGTGTTAATGCATCGTGTACTGTTGGAACACATAATATTGGTGGAGAGTCAACTTTCTTTCCAAGCATTAAACGTACTTGTTTTTGAATAAAACCAGTACTAACATTAATTTTATAATACATACACAAATATGTCAATAAAAGATTACATAATTGATTCATTGGTAATAAAGATAATGTATTTTGTTCTGGATTTGTTGCAAAATCAATAACAGTATTTTCTAATACTTTACTTACTTTACCACAGGCATCATATAAACATAACATCCATAATGGATAATCAACTTTTCTTTCTTCTAAATGTGCTTTCTTTCTTCGTTCTTGTTCTTTGGCACACTCTTCATTACAATCAAGTACTTTATCTTCCCATGGATGTTCTGGTGTTGCTCCACAAACCACTTGAACTTTTCTAAATCCACAACCACACTTTACTTCAACTAATTGGTCACATGGAGTTGTTGGACATGGAGTATTGCCATGACATTTACTATTACAATTATGGGTACAATAAGGTTTTTTCTTTCCACACTCATATGGACATTGACCATTCTCAGTACATGGACCATCATGACAAACTCTCTTACAAACATGAACACCACATGGCATAGGTTTACCACAAATTTGACCACATGAAGCACTTTCAATATAACAAGGTATTTTTACTTTATTTTTACCACAATAACAAGTCTTTTCTGTTAATGAAGTACATTTTGGACATGATCCAAAATGACAATTATGTTGTACTGGTGGATGTCCACATGGTGGAATAATAAGACATGGATAATTACATTGTGGTGGTTGTGTTCCACATGGGATTGGTGGCATAATTTTTGTTTTACCGCAACGACAAGTTAACGGAGTTAACATCATATGAGAACAAGGTGGACATTTCTTATTTCCATGACAAATTTGCATACATTTATGACCACATGGTAATTCTTTTCCACAATAATTAAAACATTGATGTAAGTCAGAATTTATTTTACTATGAGCTAAACAACATTTCTTATCACATCTATGAACTTTACAATTTAATAAATCATTA